CTGGGTAGAGCTCAGGCAGTAATTCTAGTCAAGGGAAGGACTGAAAATACATTTCAGACATTTCACTGATGATGCTCCACCCACTCACCCACTGCTCCTTGCCTGCCTTGTGGTGGGTTCCTAACTGGCTGAAGATAGATACCTGACCACAGCCCCAGGAGCTGGGGACTCCACCTTAGCAGCTCTTATTACTTTGGGATTTAAAACACAATGCATTCACCAAATATTTATGGAGTATTTCTTAGGTACTAAGGACTTGTCTAACCTCTAGACTTCAGCTATAAAGATCCATTCAAGTGACAGTGAGAGGGAAATAATGTTAAAGAACAATAGCAGTGAGAGTCAGGTGGTGGCCTGCACTGTGAGGAAAGTTAAAGAAAGGAGGTGGACAGCAAATAGGAAGTTGCTGTTCATCGAGGTGGCCAGAGAAGCCGGCTTGGAAAGCTGACGACTGTGCTGAGATCTTTTTTTTTTTTTTTTTAACAAATGCAGTGAGAGGGGTTGATTCTCCCTTTTGAAATTTTTTTAATTAATTTTAATGAGAAAAAATAGCAATGAAACAGTCTCAAAAGAGGTTAGTAGAACAGTTACAATAATTAATACACTGCATATTGTTGTCTTTGTAGCAGTTATTCAGAGGACAAGATGCAGACATGATATCTTGTCTAGACAATATAAGTACAGACCTTTCTTTTAATTGAACTAATAGAAGGTAGCTGCATATCTATCCTATTTTGTATATATGTACACATAATTTTTCATTACAAAATGATCCTTCATTTATGTCCCCTTTTTTTGATTTGTTTTGTCAGAAATGGGTGTTCTGTTGTTGTTACAGAAACTGTATTTGGAAAACTCTTTAAAAGACCTTTTCATACTTGATGCCAGTTCAACTATTATAGGTACTTGAATTCAGCAAAATAGCCCAATATAGTCCAATAGTCTATAATAGTAGTGGGTTGTCAGCAGAACTGGCAAATGTGTGAAGTTGTTGACATGAGCCTTTTACAGCTCAGCCTTATACAGCTCAGCATATTAATACAGCATTACTTTCTATACCTCATGGTTATACTTTTCTTCTGGATAATTAAGCCCAAGTTAAAGCAAGATTTATATAAGTAAAAATTTAGCTTTTGTAAAGAGGGGCTGCAAGGATAAGCCAATATTTTGGCCCTAGCTCTTCAAGTTCAATGAGGACTCAGGACATAAGAGAACCTGTGCTGTGACATCCTGCAACTCAGTGGTGTACCAAAATTTCTGATCAAGGAGATTATGGGGCCACAGAGGAAAGTGATCAATGATGTAGAGTGTACGTAAGGAGAGTCACACGGAGAGAAAACATTTTCTCAGGCTTTCATAGAGAGCAAATTGGTCAAGCAATAGCCATGACTCACCCAGATGGCTGACACTGATAAAAGACCTACAAGGTGCTGTACATGGTTTCAGAGTAAATCCTGGGGGATTCTGACTCTGCTGAGATCATAAGGAAGAGAGGGCGGGGGCCACACAGTGTGGGGTATGATTACTCTTCGGGAGAGGAATAGGCTCAGCCCTGAGGCCAGCATGTCCAAGGGGCCCAAAGGATTCATGTAATTGGAATGGAGGGAGAACAGGGACAAAGAGAGTTGAGAAATGAGGGTAAAGAAATGAAGGGAGTCCAAGAAATAGATCAATATGGGGCTTTTTAAAGCCAAGGCAAATTGTTTTCAATTTATGCTCAATAAAATAAAGATATGCAGAGGAATGATATCCTCTATCTTGGGTTAAAATAGGATCATTCTAACTGTTCGGATGAAAATAGGCTGATCAAGCGCATGGACAAAACAAGGAGAGCTTGTGGCTATGCCGAGGGTACATATGAGGCGCGATGGTGGAGACAGTGGTGGTGGAGGAGGAAGAGGGCTGTGCTTAGATTCTCTGAAGTCAGAGGCAGCAGCATTTGTTAAGGGAATAGATGTGGGTTGTAAGAGAAAATAATAAAGGATAATCCCAAAATTATTTTGCAATTCTTCCAAATATCTGGAGAATTGCCAGAAGTTAAATGCGACACAGCGTCACCTGAAATGAGTTTTAAAGCAGTAGGGGTGGCTTTCCCTGCACTCTAGAGGAGGACACACCAGACTGCACTGGAAGATGTGGGACCTGCACTCCCTGCAAAGAGGGGATGGGGCAACCATCTAGCTCTCCTCTAGGGAAGGGACCCCCTGCACGCACACACTCACACACACACACTTACACACACACTCACACACTTGCACACTCGCACACTCGCACCCTGCTCCCTCCAACCACTGAGCTGTCTCTTCTGTCAGGTTTCTTGGTTTTACCACAGCTCATTTCTGTGACTTGGGAAGGTCAAGAGGATCCCAGGGAGACACTAGGTTGGCTCGCGGCTGGGTCAGAAGTCAGTTTAACTAGTGAAGATGCTGTGCAGGTGTAGGAGTGACAGGGGCCTCAGAAGGGGGCCGCGGAAGGGGGCTGCAGAAGGGGGCCACAGAGGGCCTGGGGTTACTATGTAAAGGGCATGGTCTCTGGCCCGGCCTGTGCAGAGCAACCCCAGGCAGACTGGGAGACAATTAACAATGGCCTTGCCAGGGCCCCATGCACTTCTACTTTAATTGGTCTGAGAATGGACCCAGCAGGGAAGGGTTAATAGTGTCATGGGTGCTCCGAACAGGGCACAGAAATCCCTGCTGAGCAGTTCATCTCCAGGGGCCCACCTTACCCCGCACCTCCTCACTCGCAGACCACCTCGCAGAAGGACTTGAACAGGGAAGGGAGCACGGGCTTCGTGTGACAGACCGCAGTGCATGTGCCGACCGGCAGAGCCCCGCACCCAGACAGGTCCCTAGGATAACAGCGGAGGGAAACCGATAACAGGCACCTGAGTCCTGAATGTGCAAGTTCTAGATGATAAAAAAAATGTGTGAGAGAAATAGTGGTTGACTTTAGTATAATGATCCATGATACATACTGGCATCTGGTGTTCGCCCTCATGATTCAACACAAAAGGCTTTTTTTTTTTTTTTTTTTTTTTTTTGGTGGAACTGGGCATTGAAAAAGGAGTTTTCCTAAAGACGAAGCAAGAAAATACTAAGTAATGCTATATATAAAATGCTGTTTCTTTATAGTATTATGAAATATAGATGGTGGCCACGTGGTGTGAGGTTGTTCTGGGGAGACAGTAAACAAATAAAAAAAAAGGGCTCGTCCGGGATTTGAACCCGGGACCTCTCGCACCCTAAGCGAGAATCATACCCCTAGACCAACGAGCCACAAGGGACTCCAGCCATACTTCAGTACTTCCATAGGAAAGGCGTAGGCACATTCGTAATTGGTTGCAAAGGGCTCCTTAATGGGCATGGGGTGACGCTTACTGGATAAATGAAGTCACTGCTGTCTCTTGCCTAAGTTTTAATGAAGCCCTGAAAACACAAGAGTTTTCTTAAAAGGAAAATCAGGCGTTACTCAGAAGCACTACGCCGCAGGTTTTTCCTGATTGAAGAGAGGGAGTCAGGGGCAGTCCGGTGACCCGGGGCGGGCGCCTGCTTTCCGCGTCCGGTGGAGGCCCCTGGAGAGGTGGGCGGGGCGGATCGCACTGCCCTCGGGGCGCCCTGTACGCCCGGCGCCGACCGCCAGTGCCGCTCCTTTCATCTCCCTAGAATACTGTGGTTTAGAAGAACAACAAAACCCAAAGCAGAAGAGGGGGGGGTAGAGAGACAGAGAGAGGAAGCAAAGAACCTGTCAGAACTACGAGTGAAGGCAACGCTGAAAAGAGGAGGTAGCGTGGCCGAGCGGTCTAAGGCGCTGGATTAAGGCTCCAGTCTCTTCGGGGGCGTGGGTTCGAATCCCACCGCTGCCACATGTTTTTGCACCAATGTACAGCTTTGTTGAAGAGGCACCGTTTCCTCAATTCTCCTGTTACCTAACCACTAGGTAAACACGTACTTTATTTAATAGTTGTAGACTTTTTGCAACTGGTAGGAGGAACAAGACAGGGAGGCAGGAGTGAAGAGAAGGAATGGAATGTAAAAAGAATTAAGACGTGCTATGTACACGATTAGTATAATCATTACGTAGTACAAACATATACTAATAACATTTTAAAATAATAATAATGATGATGATAATGATAATAATCTGCAGTCTTTAAACACAGCAGCACCCTGGCAAGGTGCCTCTGAATGACAGCTTCCCTTCTGGAGGCAAAGTGCTGAGACGTTAACAGCAGAAACCTCTCCGCAGTGACAAGAAGGAGGAGGAGGA